TTTTTGACAAAAACGACATGCTATAGTATGACTTTTTTATTTCACGCCAAAACTGAAAACGATTTCTTTTTGTGAAAGACTTTCCTCAGGTGATTTCTACGACATGCATCGCACTATTTCCACTGTGTACTACATCCTGATGCGTTTTGACGACATTCTGAATCATGACCCTTTTTGACAAAAACGACATGCTATAGTATGACTTTTTAGGGTCCGAGCACACCAGTGCAAGGACCCTATTTTAACCGCTGTGATTATTGTTATTTTTATTTATTATTGTTATTATTATTATTTATTATTATTTTATCGACTTTTGAAACGCGATTTTGAGGGCCCAAGCAACGTCGAAAACTCACCAAAATCGCCACGCACATCAGGACTGGCGAAAAATTTGATATTTTAATGGACTTGGACATGTCACTGCCAAAATGGCTCCACAGCGCCACCTTGAAAATTTCAATGAAGTCCTATCGGAAGCACGTATGACCTACACCTACACAATTTGGGAGGCATATAGAGCTGGTCGGCACAAATAAAAAATATCTCTCCGCTCCCAGGTCTAAAACGCAACACGGCTCAACTGCGCCCCCTACAATATTTCCACAGAGTCCCATTGTGGCTACGTTTCACCTACAACTACCACATTCACCACACATGTGTAGCAACTTGTGACGATGGACCCGTCCATCGCCACTTGCGGCTTTAATCTCCTCTTGGAACTTTTCCGCAGCCAAATTGTCGTTTTAATCATTTCAAAGCACCTCTGTGTTACTGTAACGTCTACCCAAGAATAAGAAAGCTGACTGTTTGCATGTAAAAATGTAGTTATTTATTGACCAAATCAGACACTAATTCACAATAAAAATAAACTGATATTCACAGTTTTTTGTGTTTAAATAGTAAACTTTCAATAACAAGATGTCCTTTGGCTGTTACTTGGTTGATTTAAAATTAAAAACAGTTGTGGGCCTTTCAATATTTATTACTGATGCTTGGTTATTAACTGTCCTCTGGTCTCCAGTCATTTAAGTCAACATGCAGCCAGGAGTAAAGACTTCAGCTCGCCATCTATTGGACAAGAGCTGCTATAACAAATGCAGTCAGCTTGTTGTCAGACACTTTGTGCTGTACTCACGAACAAAAGGCTGCAATAAATATAACACAGTCTTATATTTTTACTCAGTTAACTGTCATTAAAGGTTTAGAGCATCTATGACAGATTATAAAGAGCTGATCGTGTTGTTGAACTTTTAAAGGCCCAGTGTGTAAGATTTAGGGGAATCTATGAACAGGAATGAGACGTAATATTCAGAATTGTGTTGTTGTTGTTTTTAGTGAATAAACCTGAATCAAGTGTTGGTTACCTTAGGATGCTGCCTTTATAGAGAGAGCCAGTCCTCGTCCACGGTGTCCATCCTGCATGTTGTGTCACTGTTTCAAAAACAGTGTTTTTCTCACAAACTAGACAAACCAACCTGTGGCTCTAGAAGGGCCGTCCATGTTTTAAGTTGCCCCCATCGTGTCTCGTAAACACTTGGAAGCCCCTGGGAGGGTTAGATGAGCTGCATTCAGTTTGAAATTTATAATCTCTTTATCCATACACGGCTTAATCCTCACTCAGGTCGCAGGAGGCTGGAGTCTATCCCAGCTGACTCAGGGTGAAGGCAGGTTCACCTGGACAGGTAACCAGTCTATCACAGGGCTACACTTAGAGACAGACAACCAAGCACACTCACATTCACACCTACGGACAATTTACAATCACCAATTAACCTCAGGAGAACCTGGAGAGAACCCACGGGGGAGAACATGGAGAAAGATCCTGGGTATCCTCACCGGGACGTGAACCGACGACCTTCTAGCTGCGAGGCAACAATGCCAACCACCGCTCCACCTTTCAGTCCAACCTCTTTGCTTGATTCCACTAAATCCTTCACACCAGATGTTTCCCTTAAAAAAAAATCAAAACTCCTACAATCATTACTAGACCTGTATGGATGTTCTCGGTTTAATCGAAACTACTGCCACGTCTGCCACTTTTTAAGAACGTGAATAGCGTATTTAGTTTCATCACAGTAAGAAGTATACCTCGATTGCACACCTCCAACGATGAGGATTTCGATTCTCAGTTCTGAATGAGTCAACGCTTGCCGCATCTCTGCTCTGAATAATTCAGCAGGAGCTCCATCGAACGCTTTCTGGTTTTACACCAAACCGCATTCCCTGCTCGTTGCTTAACAGATGCAGCCCCCACGCTGTGGTTTTGTCCAAGTTGTAGAACTGGTTCTGAAAACTGGGGCGTCACACCAGAGCTGCGACGAGACCGAGGCAGCGACTGCGTGACCACATACTGTACATGTAGGTTATAGAAAAGGCCAACCTGAGTTTCTTTTTTTGCAGTTTCAAGAATTCATGAACAGGTGTGAATTGGACTTGATAATATTAAAAACACATCAACACACTGATAAATCAGACAGAACTGCTTTTTCCTTTAAACTCATCCAGGCAGCTAATCTGTTCCCTCCTCGGTTTCATTGAAGCTCCTGCACAAATCAGTTCACAGCATCTGACCTGAGGAGTAAAGCCTTCCACTCCCAAAGGTCTGCTCATCCTATGCAGAAGGAAAGTTCTAAACAA